CAACTAAGACCCAATACAGAAGTCGCTTGGATGCGGAGAACGATATGAGAGTCCAACTGTCTGACAGGTTGCCGGATTTCGGGGAAATTTTGAAAAAAAGGCAACACCAACGTTCGCATTGATCCCTAATATAAATCCTCACGCGTCGTGAGATACATATGTGTAAATACATGAGCCAAGGGCTCCGCACAACTGAATAAGTTATGTCCTCATGGAAACGTGCCTCGGGTGTCATTTCTTCTATGCGAAACCGCGATGTAGTGTGAAAGGAACGATGAATGATGAATTGAGGGTTCCGCGGGAGGATTCGCGGAACCCTTGAGGGGTTCCGGGAGAAGCTTTTCGGAACCCTCCGGGGTTCCCTGGTCCGAGAAAGGTTGGGAAACCCTGTTCTAGGGAACGTCTGCGAAAGAGAGCACCCTGCTGTGACGGGGGAGTCTTCGATTACACGATAGGAGATCGAAAGGTCAGTGGCGTTTATCTGGGTGATCCTTCCCCCCAGAGCTTGGAAGTATTCGTGAATGGAGCACAGGTGAATGAAAGAAAATGCATCCGAGACGGACCTCCGTCATCTGAATCGGGAACGAGGATTTCGTGACTCGACGCCTCTCTGAATCCTATCAAACAATGTACATGGCTTGAGAAGAGTGTTTCTCCACCCTATCGACCCTTCTGCCGAGTAACCTCTGGCCAGAAGGGCAATCGGAGCACTTTTTTGGAACATAATACAGGGCGCATCCTGGGCGTATGAATCCGCATGAGAAGCCGCGCCAGGACGAAACCATTCCGCAGGAAGAGCATGCTAGCTGATTCCCGTTCGGAGAACATCCTGTTCCGGTCGAGGAAGCGCCGGTAGAGTAGAGGGGAGCTGGGAATGTCGATTATTATTCAAGGTTCAATTCATTCATCTCTAGACATAGGTAGCTCCATCAGACAGCTCAATCCGCACCGTACTGCAAAGATTCACTGGACACACTACGAATATTTTGGCAGAGTCATTCGACAACTGCAGAAGTTCCCCGGACAATGAGAAGCATTCGATCACCTTGACTACGCGCAGAGAACTGAACAATGATTTATTAGTGCCACATCGATTTCTTCCTCGTCTAGACCTCGGCTGTCGTAGAGGTTGGCTTTCTCCGCATGACTATACACAGAATCGCGGATCAATTGCTTTCACGGGAATATATTATCATACAGGGCGAAGGCGTAAGAAAACTCTTTCATCCTCTGCGATGACTTCATGATGATATGAATACACTGCGATCGACTTATCAGAATTGAAATCGGTATTTCAGAGATCTTTCGAACTTTGTCCGGAAGTATTCCGTCCACAGTTTGGTTCGAAGCTTCTCGATGGCAGTGATCCTTTGTCGGAGGATTCGAATGAGAGGAAGTCACCCACTCGCTTGTACTCAGTCTACAGGGAGATATCTAACTGAAGTTTTATCTCAGAGTGTCTGCAGCTATGAAGCATCGAAATCTACTTGGGGTTCCCTTTTTGGCCGCTACAATACTACTTGCAGAAGTGCTCCACTTTTTTCACGCGACATTTCTCGCATTTCACTTCGCAACACCAAACGAACTTGCAATTACATTTCTCAGACACCTCTCGAACCTTAGTGATGTATCCTCTTCCGCAGCACAGGAGCCGACAGCCATCGAGGCCGTAACTGGTCGCATTGCAAGCTCGTCCGGTCGTTCCCAGGATGCCGAGTCTGAAAGGCAGAATCGATGTATGAATTTCGCATCGCTGTTCCAGGAAGATGGCTGTCGGTCTTTTGCTGGGCCGTAGGCTCCAATGGCGGTCTCTCAGGCGCCCCATGGAAGCAGGTTTCCAGGATCCCCAAGTCCTCAGGATCTTAGTCCTCAGGATCGATACATTCCCGGGACGAACACTTACGATGTATCTTCCTGGCAGTAGTCCGGGCTGTCTTCGATATATACCAGGTCTTTCTTCCCCGGACGCTTCACGTCGCGGGTGACCGGCTTCAGCTTCGGTCTCCCTCTACCGAGTGATGCGTGGACTTGAGTTGCGCCGTCGTAGCGTTGCAGCAACTCTTCACCGATAGATCTGGAGGATGCGAGAACATTGATCAGAATTAGAAAGTATCCCTTGGAGACGAAATTCGGGCTGGGGAGATACAAATGAGGTTACGAATGGCTGATAACGAGTCGGCACCGAGTTCCGAATCAAACCTACCTGAAGGGTTTCAAACGGCGCCAACAAACCTGTAATTGGCATGATCCTGACACACCGTGACATTTGCAAGTCAATTCGGCGTTGCTCCTCAAGGTCTTCCAATCCGGAAAAAAACATTTTGTGGTATTTAGCGAGACTGCGGAGAAGTTTATGTTTGCAGATAAAGTCTTCGATTCTCTGACGATGAGACTATGGGACTCACCCTCCGCCCAGCTTCATTGTTGTGTAAATTCATGAGACCTTGCGGACTCGTGATTTCTTCGCCGAGATCAACGAAATCCCTGTGGACAGTCAGACACGGGAAGTACATAAAATGTCGTCAGACCTTGAATTACAGTTCTGGGCAGATGAAGGCCGGCGAAATGTCGGGCAAGAATTTACCTTGAAAACTGCGTTCCGTAGCTGATATCTTCCGAGCATCCTCCCCATTGCCATCTGCCGCGTGTCTGTTTGCTCCTGATGTTCGAGTCACATCCGCACTCTGTGAGCTCGCCCTTACTGCAAGCTCTCGTGATCGAATACGCAACTCCGGCCGCTGAAATCGCGTGAACGAACGCCTTCTCTCGACTGCCTGGAGGTATCGATAGGCGAAGACACGATCTTAAATACAGCTCATTCTGTGAGATAGTGAAAATTGCGGGAAGCCTCGATATACGTATCGCGAATTGGGGCATCGATCCGTGAGTCTCGTTTGAAGACAGGCTTGTGTTTGCGACTCCGGGTGTTCTCACTTCGACCATCTCATTAGAATCGTTCTTCGGTTCTATGAAATTGCATACGAGAAAAAATGATTACGGGATTCGTTTAATTACGAGCACTCCCATAAGAAGCTTCTCGGGGATTCCAACATCGTAAAGTCCACTGGGTGGAGTGCCGCCACGAGAATCGTGTGCTCGAGCTGCACTCATGGTCTACGACGCGTCGTCGAGTCAGGTGTCAGAAATAAAGACCTCGGATGGCTGACCGCTCTACGTCGAGCGCACGGCTACTCTCCCCGCAAGAACCTTAACTGTCAGTCGATGTCGACAAAGAAGGAACAGGCCTGTCCTACGTCTCCGGGCTCCATGCTTCTGACCCCAGAAACCTACCTCGTCCCTATCGAACTCGAAAGAGGGCTCGACGGGGCAATGATTCACCCCATGACACGATTAGGATCTGAACTTGTTTTTTCTTCTCGATTCCACAGCTTTCTTCTCGTGGCTCCAAGTCACATCAAATCCTCACGGAAAATCAGGAGAAGCTCGGAGGGGAGATAGAGCAATTCGCTCAGATCGCAATCAGAATGCAAGTGAGCCGGATCCGGTGAGTCACTGAGCATTAGGTGTCCGTGGTGAGAGGCGCGAGGGATAATACGATAGTAAAGCCAGATATATCGCCCATATCCACGAAGATTGCGCTCACTGAGACCGGACTCTGTATCACGATGGAAGACACGAAGCAACTCTGTCTCCTCCTCGTAAAAGCTGATCCTCTCCTCTCGGGCCGGCAGGGAATGGAGAAGAAAAGCTCAAAATACGACAGCAAGAGAATAAGGAGACTCCTTCGCCAGTATCCTCGGCCGTGTCCAGGTGCAGTCGGTTCTCAGTCTTTCTCAGCTTTCCATCGACATATACCGGCGGAAGAATGGAATTTAGCGGGAGGAAATAGCGTGGAACTTCCTGAATTCGCGAATGTTCGATCGGGTAAAGGGCGCGAAGAGAGCCGGAATCGAGTAGGGATAGGGGACCGAAGCCGGGCCGGAGAGTCGTGATACTCAAATTCGCCGGGCCGGAGTAAACGTGACTCAATCAGTGTACAATGTGCGCCTGACTTGAGCTCATGCTGCTGCCGCTGCGATAGAGGTTCGCGCGCGAACGGGGAGCTGGTAGTAAAATATGAAAAGGGAGGCTTTGGCTATAAAAGATGTATGTTGTTACGGCGTTGGACGCCACCATACTGCTGCTGCTGCCGTTCTCCGGCATTATATGGAGCGAACGCCCGACTCCTGATTCATATTAAGCGACTGACATCAAACGCCGAAAGTCATCCGCCGGCTCTGCCGGTCTTGAACAATCGCCGCTTGAACGCTTTGTTTCTCATGTTGCCCAGCCGTCGGCCGAGGCCCACAGTCCCCTTGATCCTAAAGTCTTTCGCCTCCACTGCTTCCGATCAGTGGAGGATGGTTCGCTCGACACTCCGCTCTTTTCCGAAGACTCTTGCCTATCATTCGCCGGATTCCCCAAGAACAAGCAGATTCGTTCGAGTCCGGAGTCCTTAGCCAGCTACATGGGTACTGAGACAAGGAGGGCTGGCCGGAGGGTTTCCCGAGAATTTCAAAGTTATGTTTCCATCAAAATATTCCTTTCAAAAGGAAACAATGCACTTCAGAGATGATCTCAGTTCTTTTACGCTGTTGGAACCTGATATGGGGCCGAACGCAAACGATTGTAAAATGCTGAAGAGCTTCGAGTCGTGCAGGGGTAAGAACCAGTTTAAACGGTCAGTGCCAACAAAAGCTGGGGCTTGTGGGTGAACAACAATAAATCTCATGGAGCACACGAAAACTAATCTCAGAGGAAATCTTGTAGCAAACGTTCCCGAGTTTTACAGCCAAGAGCCTACGAATAAAACGACGATGCTCCGCTCCGCACAACTCTGCCCAGGCTCAAGAGACTAGTAAAGACGACTTTGCTGCTACGATTGAGTGGAAGAGATCCAGTTTAGCGAGTGTGAAGCTCCTGAGTTTGCGGATACTGAGACTCGCATCGCGGGGGCTGGGGGAAGGAGCTGTTCCCTTCATCCGTTTGCACAATACTCACTGATGCCGAGAACTTTCCCGAAGACCCGATGATCGTCCTGCTGCGTCGAACAATTCCATCTGCTCATCCTGAATTGGTGTTGACATTCTTCGATCCCGAGCTGGGCACCGCGACCGATCGTCTCCAAAGTTATTCGACTCAGGGAACAGATATCACTAAGAGATTCAGGGCGGGGGAGGAATGAAGACGGCATAATGAATTTGCAATCATTCATCAACCGCTCCGTTCCCTGCGACGATGAGTCGTCTATCGACCTAGATCAATCCTACCTCGGGAAACCGCTTTATTATGAGAATTTTTTTGCTGGCTTACCGAGTTGAGTGCTTGATGTTTGGACTGAGATTGTGCCGGCAGAACTCATCGAACGAAGCGGCCGCAGGCAGCGCAGTCTCGTCCAGAGCCGATGGCATTCCCAAGTACCTGAACACCGGGAATATCTCTGACTTATAGGGTCCGTGATCACCGAATATTTTTGCTTCTCCAGCGAAATTCCCAGACCCTCTGTCCCCTCAGACCCCCGGATTTCCTCAATCATTCTACCCTCTGGACTGCCACTCTGATTTATATCCGCCACACTTGTGTTCCTGAGGAGGAGCCGCTCCGACCCGTCACGATCGAAACCCTCATAGATTGACGTGATCGCCATTCGCTTCTAAACTTTTCTTACGCTCTCGAATCATTCTTTTGGGAGATTCATCGAAATTTCCGGTCATCTTGGCGAGACATCCTAAATTCTTCGACATTCCATGGAGCATTCAACAAGATTATCGGGAAACATCCAAATTGACTCCTCTCCGACTTGACTGAGCTTCTTCGACGAGCGATTATCGAGCTGAGGCAAGAGCTCAGGGGCTCCACGCGATTTCAAACCGTTCGATTTTCTCCCCGGAAAATTGGAAGCCGATAGTCTCCGGGAAAGTGAAGCCGACTTCTGATTCCATCGGTCGACTGTTTGAGACACTGCCCTAGGAAACGCTTGCTCTAGTGCCTATTCGGATAACCATCCGCGAAATACGTATAAGGTGCTTCGATACTTCGGCTCGTTCTATCGCATCGGATTGGAGATCGGATACCAAAACCTATCCATCTTCTCGGTGAAAAATACTCACCACCAGCTTCCTGAACAAAGTCGGAGAGTGCCAAAAACTGCATAGATTAAGAGCGATGAGATAAATCCGTGATTTATGAGGAGCATCCTGGTCTCCGAGATCCGATCGTCAGACGAGCGTTGATGCAGAGCGATTCACGAAGAACGATCACGACGGTGAATCACTGAGCTCACTGGGTTCCCTTCGCGCGCTCACCGAGCATTGACTTCATTCACTCCACGGGAAGATAGCCACTTCTCCCGAGCTACAGCGCCCTCTGGTTCTTCAGGAAAATTGGCAAGCCCTGCTAGGTGAAAGCAAAGCGAGACTGCTCCCGCAGTGTATCGAACACAGTGTCGCCCGACAAAAAAAAACGATTTCGTCAATATATTTCTTCATTATTGTATGGAAATTCCTCAACAGGAGACACTGTCTCGGAATTGAGCTGCCGAACGGAGTTTGGATTTCTATGAAGTCTAGCGAGTACCTATTCGCATTCCTCCCAGGATTCCCCCCATCATTCTGATGGAGTCCATTCTGCGAGCGCTAATCGGCAGTGAGTGTTCTTTGATTGGTCGCATGAGTTGAGGACTGAGTATCGATCCTTCCAGTGATCATGATATGTATTGCACGAATTTCATCAAAGAGGAGCGAGAAAGACCCTCAGTAAGACCGGGAACAATTATCATGTCTTCGCGGGGCAAGGAAAAAGTCAGGTGAGGAGCTGATCCACGAGAAGCCTTGCTCGTTCTTTGTCCAGATCGCCATAGAGATTAGTTGCCAGAATCGCATCGATTGCAGCATCGATAGCCGACGCGGAGAAAATATTCATCCCGAGAATGACGTCGGTAACATCATTCAGAAAGCTCATGTACGAATCGCTCTCCTCGAGGAGAGGACTATTCGTAGTTGACTCCATCGGTGGTATGCCGTGTGTTGTATCCGCGTTCGAGACTTCCTGAGGGGAAAGTACTCCCCGATCATCCCCGAGCTTGTCTGCGCCGGAGACACTCCCGCATGATTTTTGCGGCATCTTCGCCGGACCGTGAGGAACGGGTATCTTCACAGCGTTCCGCGCTTTTGGGGATGAAACGCTGGCGCTGCTCTTCGTCGACACGGAGATCGTTGGAGCTCTCCGTTCGGATGATACAGTCGACACGGATGAGGAACTCTTTTTCGGCTCCGGTCTTGGGGATCTACTCGACCTCGAACTCGACGAGACGCTCCCCTTATCCGTCATGGTCGTCTTGGACATGGTCGACTCACTGTTGCTCTGCGAACCGCTCTCCCTCGCGTTGGGTTCCCTGCGGCAGTTCTCTCTTGCTGAGCCGATTCCGTTCGATCCTTCGCTCAGGGTCTCCGAAGACTGAGAAGAGGAGTCACTGCAGGATGTCTCCGTGGAGTCGGCTGCAGCAGAGGGTTCTCGAATGAACAATGTCATTAGGGGATGTTTTTTTAATATTCCTTGAAGGATGGGGGGAATTCCCACCTGATTTCGTTTCTTCTGAGCTCGAGACGCTGACTTTCTGGTAGAAGAGCGGCATTTGGCGCAATTTAGATCCGACCTGATGATGTCGCAAAATGCGCGGATACGACCGAGTGAATGCAATCGAGTGAACATCTAACAAATCGGTGGGTACCGGTGGCACTGGGTCTCTGCGAGAGAGAGGAAGAGAGATTTGGCGAATGAAAAATCGTCAAATTCTCCCTTCCTGAAGTTACGTCGCGCTTCGATCGACGCGTGACAATCGGAGTTCACTGACGAGCTGGACGTCGTCGACTTACAGCCTGGCCGGTTGTCTCAAGTAGGGGAATTTCCGGCCTTCAGTCCGGGAGGTGTTCTTGTACTTAATTTGTAAGAAGAAATGCTCGATTTTCTCTTCGATCGTGGCATATTCAAGAATTTCGATCCCGTCCTCCTCTGATGCCTGAGCTCGCGCCGTGCCGGCAGACGCGAGCGACTTCCGCAGCTCATTACGCTCTGGAAAGAAGTTCTCCGTTCACAGAGGACTGTATTGACACTTCGGAAAACACCCTCGAGGAAGCATAGAAATTGCTCGATTTCGTCAGACCAATACTCACTCCCGAGGAAGCTGCCATACATGCATGTGGGTGTGGCGTTGTCGACGCGAGCTGTGAAAATCAATAGCTGAGTATGCCATAACCTACCCTGATTTCGCTTCACATGAGAAGTCTTTCTCGGCGAGCCCGTCGCAATCCACGCGAGAATATTGAATTAAGCATCACGGGTTCACAGTCACGAATTATAAAGTTCAGGGGGGGAAATTCAGCTGGTAGGTAATCCGGGGAGGAGATTTGGATTTCTCCAAGAATCAATCTAGCATGGACCGTCCACCCATATCGAGGCTCAAGAGGGCTACGAGGATAAGTCTTACCTTTGATTTTCTGCACTCTATGATAAAGTCGTTCGCACCTTTCCAAGAACACCCTCTCTTCTTCGATGCCTGGAAGTTAGATTGGTGCGCTCATGTGCGATTCGCTCACTTGGCACGCTGGGACGATTCAGGTGCCTCCTGGATGGTTGGCGGGCGTGCTTCGGCTATGCAACGTAGAATCAAAAATAAACTCACGTGCAAAGGACGTCATCACTGTGTTCCTATCCGTCGTCAGGACAACGGACCTTGATACAATGCCCTCGGTGCTGAGGGTGGAACCCCGACCCCGAGTCGAGCCTCTCGAGCGAAGCTATATTTTTTATTTATTGTGTAATATGGGTATACCCTGTTACAAAGTCTCCTTCGCGAGGAGTCTTTCAGCTTGGGAAGCCGCTCGAAGCTTCGCGCACGACTTCTTGAGAAGGTTTCGTCTTATTCGAGACCAGCTCTTGGCTTACTTGGACCGGGTGCAGCGACCGCAGTCACTTGGTTCCTCAAAAAGATGCCCCGTCCAGTCGGAATGGAAATGTCAATTCATCAACAAAGGATACGCAATGAAGCGCCTCCTGACAGGAGGAAAGAGGCTTCTCTATATCGATTCATCGGAGCCGGTTTCGTGCGTCGATTCCTCAAATCAGTGCCGAGTCAATGAGACTCAAGTTTTCCCCGTTTTGCCCACAGGTTCCACCAGCCGCATGATCCCCGAACCATCGATCCGATAGATGATTCGAACCAGACAATTCGAATTTTTCTGATGCAATATGGATTCGGGGTCCCCGGCAGCTCTATCCCAGGACTCAACGAATTCGAGCCATTGGAAAGAGCATGATCTCTCCGGTGTCCCCGGATTTCTCTACGACAACCCTTCTCGGACATATTCCTCAGGAATCAGCAAAAATTCCTTGCTCTCCGTCCTGCCTCAAGAAGGAAAGCTATCTGACAGCCATGTGGGGGTGGGAGACATCAGCTGTGGCGAAATCTCACACGGATGCTGTTATGGGGTTGCATCGTCTGCAGCGGGAGAGGGCTAGTATTTACATGGTGATCATCCGCTTCAGATCATTTCAGTAACGGCGCGACGCGCCACCGAATTGTTGAGCAGTTTCAGAGCGTTCCAAAAGATGCGGTAATTGATTCGCGTTCGGATTTGAGCTCGACATTGTGGGTTGCGAAAGAAGTTTTCAGCAGAGCTACAATTTGGGACACGCATCATGTCGACGAGAAGAAAAAATTCAAGAGTACTCCACGGGCACCGCTCTTTCGGCAATCGACGATTCCGGGTGAGCCACGGGTCGATTATATTCTCCTGCCCCGTGTTGATTAGACGGCGGTGTTGATCTCGACTGTCGGCGGATTTCCGTGGGCTCTTCGGAGATGGCTAGCGCGGGGATTTCAGCGAGAAATGGAGCGGAAGACTGCTCTCTCAGAGCGGTTGGATGAGTCGTTTTTAATTCCAGCGTATCTCTCAGACTTGTTGTGAAGGATTGTTCTCTAGAATTGAACAGCTGCTTGATACTAACCGGGAGCTCCAGGATCGTTTGAACTATGACGCAGCATTGCACAAATTCATTCTGAAATTTAGTCTTTGTAAGTACAGACTTTTATTACCGTTGCAGCGTTTACCAGTGAATCGCCCCTTGTCGGGGATCAGCTAGATAAGCGCAGTTGCGTAGGCTCCCTCTGAAAATCAGAGGATGAAGACCCGCTCATGAGTCATGAGACCCAACGATGTCCTTTCCCGCAGGCCGCCCGAAATTCCAGGCTGTGAGAAGCCGTCTCCAAGAATCATGTGCGATTCTATCGGAAATCGATGACTTTCTGGACTTCTTCTCCGATCCTGCGAGGCTAGGGTCCTACCTTTTGGGAGAAGAAGCGCAAGAGGGTGCGTATGCGGTAGGTCGAAGATTTGAGCGTTTCAAGTTCCGATTCTCATGGTGTCATGAGGAAGGACTCCTAGACGTAAGCGGTGGTAGTCGTTCACTGACTTGAGAATGGATTCCAGGACCAGAAGTCACCCGCGACAGTCGAAACGCCGGACACGGACGAAGTTCTCCGGGAGAGAAGTCGTCCGAGTACCACAAATGGTGAATCACATCTTTCTAGGAAACCCGACATCGATACGATAATTGAAGAAGTAGACGAGGGTCCGCCCTCGGAACTTCCCTCGCAGCAACAAATCGTGAGTAAGGGCGAGGCCCAACATCTCTTGACGGACTTCCCGTTAGACTCCCACAGATGGAACAGGTATCCCGTAGAATTTTAAATTTTATTCCCCAGATGGCCGCAGTCGACAGGATGGAAATAGCTCGCGAGAGTAAAGCGCTCGCGCTGCGAGTCTCCCAGGCCCCTCCCGTCTATAAAATGACACCCGGGAAAGCTTCATTCGAAATGTCGACTTGCGACAGGTACCCAATGTCCAGGCTCGACCGCATAAACAGAGAGAAACTCAAGGATTGCTTGTGCCGGAACTCATGGATAATTGATCCTACGTTCCCTTTCTAGGAACAGTCCGGCCTACCTGCTTCGTGGAGTCAATTTTCGAGGAAATTCAAAACGAGTACTCCGGCCGAGCGCAGTGTGAGTCCATAGAGCCTGTTTTCATGATATTGTCAAGGACCTCCTTTCCGGATAGAAAAAACAGGTGCTCATCACAATTCCAGCCTTTTGTACGCGTGGCTCCTCCAAGGATCTCTTCGATACCCTATCACGAGACGAGACCTGGCCGCCGAAGAAGGAGAGCGATAGTCGTCGAGCCACCGGAAGAGAACGGGGCCTGGTCCGGGACACCCATGGCACGCAACCCTATCCCTGACGCGCCTGTGCAAATAGATAAACACGGAGAGCTCGAGGAACGGAGCTCGAATTCGGAAGAGCGCGGTAAGGTCGCTTTGCTCCTCGAGAACGAGGTCTTCTCAACATCGAGAACAGCAGAGCCCGTCGATGGGAAATCTGTGAGTAGACTCTTCGATTGGCTGAGCTTCACTGATGAGATGAGCGATTCTCGGTCTTTTGCTCATCTCTGGAGAACTCCCCTTTCCAAATCTCACTCCGATCTTGATCGATTCCAGCGAACTTCAACCGAGGAGCGTCCCTCATCCGTGCCTGAACATCGTCCTATTGGGAGAACGGCAGTTGTACACGCCGGTAATTATCGCATGATATTAATTGTTCCTTGTCGGTATGGTTGACTGCGAGACTGAGAGAAATGGTTTTTCCAGATGGAGCCCTGAAGGAGGAATCGCTCGCGAATTCTGATCATCGCCCTGACACCATCGGCAGAGAAAGGGTGGAAGAGGAAGAGCGCACCAGGCGGAGCGCGAAAGCCCTCGGTGTTCAACTCGATTCGAGAGCCGCCAGGGACAGGGCAAAAGCTGAAGCTATCTGTTCGTCGCCAAACTTGAGTCCGCCGAGGAGAACGGCTGTCGATGACATTGTGCTCCCTCGTGGAGGTGTTGTAGGATCCACGATACCGTCGAAGCGGTCTCTGAGAAGAGCCCTGACGAATGTATGCTATGCTGAGTCATCCCGTAAGAAGAAACGGAAAAATTGATCTGGGTGTATCGTGAAGACCACGAATGCTCCTTGAAAAGAAACTGGCGGCATTGTTCCCAAGACACAAGCGACTTCTAAAGATTCATAAAACCTAATCTCCTGTATTTATTGAAAGAGGAATCTTTTCTATACGGGAACACGTAAAATCATTGAGGCTGGTGAGCGACAGTCTGTGCATACTGTCGAACCACGAAACACGAGCCTCTTCGAGCCCATGTTCCGTGAAGTGCTATCAGATTCTTTGTTGCGATAATTCGTGAATCCTCAATAAGTACGATGCGGGATACTATCCAGCGGCTATAAGGATGGATATTCCTCCATGCGGACAGTTCCTACGAACGGACTCCTCTCGCGGGAGGGAGTAATCCTTAAGGCGTCGAGAAGTTATCGTCTTCAGCGATATCACCCAGATTGTCATGAGTGATATGCTTTGGACAGGACAGCCTTTGATGACTTCCGTAGACGAGGTCGGCCTCATATGCCAAAACGTCCCGGGTAGCAGCTAGTTCGACTCCGACCTCTGCTAACTCAGTCGGTTGTCCCGACTCCATCGGTAATCAGCAGAGGATTCGCAAAGGCGATCTAAAGTGAGTTTTGCGGCTAGCCGACCCGACAGTGGTAGCAACCTGCGGATGAGCCAGAGGGAATGAGTTCCTCCTCCTGAACGATTGGGATTCCGGGCCCACTGTCTGATCTGGGGGGTCGCCCCTTGTGGGCCGTCCCTCAGGTCTTCCTCATTTTCGAAAGAGCCTAATCGGAAAGCTGCCTCAGTTTCAACCGAGATCCGCGACCCGCCCTAACACCCGCGGCACTCCAATGGTTCCCGCGGAGGGTGAAGAATTATTCACGGTATAGTGAGGAGGAGAAGGAGTGAACTCCTCTTTAGGTCGAGTTTATCAAGTCCAGACATTCATTAACAGTTTTTCACAAACGAATTCTAAAATTCATTAAGCTTAAATCAATACAAAAAGTTTTTTAGCCGACTTGGCGCTTGAGTCCGGTAATCGAGCCTAGGATGTTGTCGGCGGTTGGGTCAAATCAAGCCCTCGAAGCACAATTCGTGGGACCCACGCTGCGGGATCAATCATGCCAGCCTTGCAGTCGGGAAACAGTATCCGCCGCCAGCGGCGGACGAGTCGGTCATTGGGGTTGGATCTGACCTCTGAGACGGAACGGGATCCATGCAGGCGTAGGATTCGTCTTCTTGCACCAGAGGCCGCCCTACTTCGCGGGGGCGTGGTGGCATCTCGATCATCGGCCTTTCGTCTGTTGGGAGCTCGGGAAAAATGAATTCAGCCAAATATTTCAAGGCAACGAAAGATGCAAGAAGACCGAATCCCATGTCCGCGGCATTCAAATAGGCTGTGAACGCCGAGTCGCAGAACACATTCATAGGCTTGCTCGGAGCTCCCTCTGCGCTTCCTGGTTCTGAGCTTAGTCCTGGTTTCGTTTTCGGTAGCACGCTCTCCAAATGGACATAGAAACACAAAAGCCAGACCAACCACGCGGAGAGAATGCTGAGTGTCAAGTATCTCCAGGTGACTGCTTTAGCCGATATGAGGGCGATACGGAAAGCCCTTGTCCGCCACGGGGGTTTCACTTCTTGAGGTGGCTCGTCCTGGTCAGCTGCAGTTTGGAAATTTATTCCGGAAGGTCCCGGTTGAGGTTCCATGCTTCCAGAGAACTCCGAAGTCACTTTAGTGGAAAGGCTATATCCTCCAACGATTTTTCCGTCGGATCGGATAGGCGATGTGCTCGAAATCCGGTCTCGAGTCGCACACAGCTGCGATGAGAAGACGGAACCTGGTGCAAGGACACGTCTCCAGAAGGGCGTGCAATGTTCACGAGAGCTGACGTGACCCCCGATGATCCTATCGTGCGGTGGCTGGCGGCTCACGGATGAGACTTCCTATCAGCTGGGGGCATGTGCATCAAGGAGCAGGATTTGAAGGATACCGGGCTATTTTTTCCCATTCCAGGAGCTCGCTCGAAGAAACTCCGCGTTGCTGCTCCGCCTTGTGCATATATACATACTCATTGAATCGTGCTGGGTACTGGAGCCGCAAGATCGTCATGAGGTCATGAGCTTTGGTTCCGTGGGTGTTCTTTCGGAGGAGCAAGCTCCGAGGCATGTCTGTGGTTCGTCAAGGGACGATCTTATCTGTGATGGGAGTTTTCTCAGAACAGGTGAGGCTGAATTTCCTGCCGTGAAAGACAGGCCTGTCGGCGAGGAGCGAGAAGATCGCTCACAGAGCAGCAGGCGAGGGGCAGAACGCAGCGGGGTTTATGGAACGGGTTGAGCGAGTAAGCTGGCCAAGATGCCAAGACGACTGATTTCAGAGATGCTTCGACAGATCGTCAGGCGACGTGATGGCACGCCGCTGCTAATCAGACCAATAGATGAGGTATATCGAAAATCCGTGGGAAACTAGTTTTCCGTGCGGGGGTATGTTTTCGAGGGTTTCGTTTATGTCTGACAGCTTCCGAATGGTGTCACATGGATACTTGGCTCGGATTAGTCTCTCTGACTCAAAGAACTTTCGATGAAGACGCGCTATTTCGCTACGAGGCTGTGCGAGCCGCGATCCAATCGAGATGATCCCTCAGGAGACCAAAGCCCCACATGCGGGAATTATTGTATGGTTCATTGATGGGGGAGCCCATTGAAGTCTTGCTTAAATCGAATTTATTCAATCTAGTCATTAATCAACAATTTTACGAGGCTGAAGCCTCATGCACTCGAATCGATACGAAAAATTGTGTCCGTGCAGAGGTCTGGCGTCATTTTCTAAGAGTTTGTGTCATATCATCGACTCAACGTACAACTTATACAGCCTTAGGAATCATCATTTCAGCTTGGACATTTCTGGGAAACAATATCCACCGCCGGCGGCGGACGAGTCGGTCGTCATCGGAGTCGGGTCTGACCCCTGAGACGGGACGGGAATATCTAGACTAGCCACGGATTCGCTTTGTGGGACCGCGGACTGTTCAGCTCCCAGAGTTTCCTGTGGTCTTACGGTCGGTGGATTCGGTGGTTGTAGAGCTGGATGATCGGGAACGTAATGATCCAAGTAAAGTTTCACGACGGCGAACGTTGTGATGACGACGAACCCAACGTCTGCCACTATCACAAAGAGTCTCAACCCCTCATCACAATAAACGTTCACATTATCGTTCGGTTGTGCCCCGTTGGCTCCGGGTCCTGTGCTCGGTATTTCTTTGTCTGTGATTCGCACGCGTTCGTGGCGGAGATAAAACCAAAGAATCCAGGAGAACCAGCAGATGAGTATGCCGAACACTGTACTTCTCCAAGTCAATATTTGAATCACTTTCGGGAGTAGGCAGACACCTTGCAAGATACACGAGGAGTGCACTCGAGGTTGCTCATTTTGATTAGCCACAACTCTGGAGTTGATTCTGGAAGGACCCGGTTGAGACTCCATGCTTAAGGTAGCTCCGGATCCTTTTTGCTGGGCTGGGCTCTCCGACGATTTTTCCGCCTGATCGGAGAAGAAGGTCTGCTCGTGCCCGAGTCTTGTGTCTGGCACAGCTGCAAAAAATGGACGGAGTTTCGTACACAGACACGTCTTGAGAATGAGAATGACCTGCAATGTTCGAAGAAACTGACGTACACCTGGGGCATCACATCACGTGAGCGTTTTCGACTTGGGGACGAGACCTGCGAGCAACTTCGTTCATCGCAGATCGAGTCGACTCATGGAGGAAATCCCATTTTCATGCGACTCCTCGATTCGAAAGGGCTAATAAGTGGGCTCTTTCTGGGGATTCCGTCCCATATTTATCCTTGCTCCCCAATGTGTCCATCCATGAATATGGTCCTCATTCGCAATACGATTTCCGCTTAACTCCGGCGCCAGCTGCAAAATCACCATGAGCTCCTGCACTAGCGTACATTGATAATGACTGTAGACCCATCGATCGTCGAGGAATTCTCACAGGTATGACAAGAGCTGATCTCAGCTAAGCTTTCCTGTCGGGATATAGGCTGCAGGAGATTGGGTTTGAGAATGCTTGCCTGAGGGGAAGAGGCCGTCGAAGGGAAGCGGGGGCCGATTTTCCAGGGCGCGACGTGCCGGTCTCGGCGCAACGGGCTCGCTCATACTGTGAAAATGTCGATCAACCTGCCGAGGGATTGAACGAGGCGTGGATGAATTGATTGAAGTGTAGGTCAGATGGCCGAACCCGGATTTCGCTGGCAAGGATAGCAAGCAAATGAGCCGATGTGAACCGATGAACCGAAGTGTCCCAAGGCCTTTCCGAAGGATAGCAGCTCGCGTATCAACATGGTGGAGAAAATGCCAGGTTGAAGCGGGACCGACACGGTGAGGATCGATAGACCCCACGTCTCGAGAAGTCCACGATGATCAAAGCTCATCCAGGCTCTCAAAGGGATTCAATGCTCCCGGAGGCATCGACTAGGATATCCGGCTTGATTTCTTCTTGCCATCCACTGAGATATTATGCTATGACTTCCGAGGAGCTGTGGAAGTGCATTGGATGCACAACGAACAGCGCTTTATGGGAACACCGGTAATTGGGATCCTCCGAGAGTCTCGATCAGTGGTTTCCATTGAGTTGAGCTCCGCTTAATCGGATCCTCCGCCTAATGGTATCGAAATCGCCTGGTCCCGATGTGTTCCTATTAAGCGGAGTTCACTGTATAGGGCAGGGGTGTCAAATTCAAATGTTCAGCGGGCTACGAAGGAGTACTGGGAGGAGCCGGCGGGCCACATCCAAACATTTTTCGACATTATTCTTAATTCACGTTGTTTGAGCGGAGAGCGGATAGCTGGAGGGAAACACATATGTTTATGCATGATGGGTCACAATCGATTCTCGATTTTTCAGAGTCGACTCGCTCTATTCGCGATTCGAAAATTACAAGGATATTATCCTATGGAATTCCCGAGGATCGGCTGCGGGCCAGGAAAAAACTCGTGGGCCACCTCTCTGACACCCCTTGTATAGGGGCTCTGCGGAATGCGGGAAGGATGATGGGGCACGGCGTTCACTCATATCATCATCTCTGAACTCCTCCTGGAGGACTCCTCTGTTCAGAGGAGTCTACAATCAATTCTAAGCGGCTTTCGGTTGGTGTCCCATGGATACCCAATCCGGATTTGTCTTCTTCCAACGGCCTCACGTAGGTCGCGAAGAGGCTCATTCCGAGAGCATTCGAGTGGCTCCCCGATGTGAGCCGGAGGATCGTTATTCGAAAATCCCGACGATATCCCTATGTCCTCCCTTATTGAGGTCTCAATTCCGAGGCTTGATCGAGCCGCTGAATTCTTCTGCTTTCGGGACGGCTCGACCTCCACGATGTAATCGTGAAAGATTAGTTTAAAGAGCAGCCCAAGCAAAGACCGAGAGCGAAACGAACGAGGAAGAGCGACTCGAGCCTGAACTCATCGTTCCGGAATCATCATGCTCGCATATTACCGCCGCATGTTGAGTTGAGCGTGATTCTCTGACCCGATGTAAGTAGTCTTCGAAGCGGTTCCGCCCCTCCTTGTCAACCAAGGTCCTTGTGTCATGTCGCGAACGCAGAAGACGAGTCTTTGTTGAAGAACTATTTATCCTAAAAACCATCTTCTCTCCAGCGACAGTCAACGACAGGTCTTCGTCATCGTCTGTGCCTTCTCACCCACCAAGCAAGGAGGACTGGACGATTTAGACATCGATGCAGAGATGTCCAACCCAGACTCATTCGAACCGCACGCAACGGCCTGCCACAACATCATGAGATGGTACATCATCCTTGTGCTCCTGGCTCTCTGGGCCTCAATGGCTTGTGGTGAGTACCCAAGGGCGAACCCCAACTTTCGACAGACCATCCCTGGGGTATGGAGGGTGGACACTCCTTGAACGCGTAGTTCGCAATATACTCATTGATAGAGAAAAGTCTGACGAATGACACATGATGCAGCTCCGCTGGGAGAACAGCCTCGATCTTGCGGTCGAATCCGACATACAAGCTTTCGGATCGCTCTGCGCAGCGTTCGAACCTCCCCAGGCCGGCTGCTCAGTTGGCATTGATGCATTCCTATTCCGGCCCTTCGGGGAACTCGTTCTCCCTCTCGTGAGGAGGTAGACTCGTGATTTGGAGCTTCCTCTGAGCCTGAGTTCACCTCGCCCTGGGGAGCGTCGAATTCCGGGACCTCGAATATTGGACTGAAGGTGTTCTGTGCTGGGGGCGAGCGGAAAGCGAGGCTCCCATCAGAATGGGAGTCATCAGCCGCGAATCCTCGCCGAAGGTACCGGTTTCTTCAGCGCCATCATTGCCCAATGGACCCTGTCGTCAAGCTCAAATCTGTGCGATCCATCGTGAATTCACGGTGCAACGTCGACCACCGACGTATTTATGCGGAATCATTTGCTGATCTTCAGCGATCTCAATGCGGGGACTCGATAGATTCGTGCGGTGGACTAGGAAGCTCCTCTGACCCTCGACATTGGCTCTCCCGAGGCTAGTATAGGAAGTCCACTGAAAGCGCAGCAGCAAAAGAAAAGAACGCAGAGAAACAAACTTCCCGGCTCGACGCCTCAATAAAGTGAACAGAATTCATGAGAAAGGTGAATGAATGTTATTTTTACAGCCCAGAAAAACCAAAGACCCAAGACAAAAGCTGTCTCCTGCCTAGGGACCCCGGACCCTGCAATGAGCGCGCCTCAGCTAAATGGTACTTCGACTCGAAGACGTCGAAATGCCGGCGGTTCGTCTACGGGGGCTGCCAAGGGAACGGCAACCGTTTCGACAGTGATTCTGAATGCAAGAACAAATGCATCGTTTAGAGGTGAGTCGAGTCGGTGCATTCCCGACTTGCTGCGTCGAGTCCCGACGCTTATAGACACTACTGTCACTGACACGCTTACCCGTAAAATCGACCGTAATCTGACGTCACTTGCGCGTCGGCGCGACGCGTTCGGCTCCGGCTCAATTCGGTCCAATAGTGATGTAGACGATTTTCTCTTCACCGTTCAGGTGGAGCCTTCAGAGAAGGACGTTTTACGGGGTCAGCTTGCAACATCGACGAGGCGCGCGCCTTCGAGCGGGAGTCGTTACACTAACGTTTCTTTCCGTTCTTGCAGAACGTCGATTGAACGACACTTTCACAGACAGACGACGACCGACCCTCCGATCAAGCACTGAAGTCACCGACGAATGAAGGACCTGGAATCTACTCGAAAATTACCGCTCCCTCCCCGATCCGGAAATCTCTTCCACTGGCAACATATTCTCAGGGGAATCTCTTTCTCGATAGAATAAACTTCGAGAGCTGGAAAGGTCTCTAAACGATTGCTCTCGTCTAGGGATAATGAGGGAGGATCGGAAAGTAGAAGCGATGATTGTAATGTTCGAAGGCTAGCGGAGATATTGAAGAGGATATTTGTACGGCTCTGGGGAATCGAGATTCCCTCGTTCTCTCTCCTGTTTGACTGATTGTCGAAACCGCGATGGAATCCCGATTTCGAATTTCCATTCTCGCAAATCTACCAGTCCTAGCCATGAAGTGGTAGGAAGAATCGACAGCTGTAATACTCAGCCGTAAGAAGCAGCAGGGTATCATATTTACACATTGGGTTTATTCGATTTCCAATTGATTACCCAGAAGTATGAACACATATCAATCATTATTTTACACATTGATATCAAGAGCTCGGTGTCTCGAATTGCATAGCGCAAAGTTTCGCGCCTTCACCTGTGGACTTTGTGCTCCGTCGGGGAGATCGGGGGATGGAGGATACCTATTTCTATGCGGCGACTCAGCATGAGCGATTCCTCTCTTGAGGAGAGAAAATACGAATATCATTGAGAAAATACGAATCTCATTGACCGTAAACGAATCTCATTGAACGGCCAACATAAAAGCAAGTCCTGCGAGCTGCTTCCGCTTTGTACCTGTACCTTGGCTGATATGGTTTTCAATTTATCGAATCCGACTCCGCAGCAAGCATAGGAAGCAGCCTTCGTTGAGTTTATATTTAGATATCGCGTCAAAGTGCCGGCTTCCGTTTTCAAAAGCGCCTCCGGATGTAGAAATTCCAGTATTCACGAATATATGATATAATAAACTTTGTATTGACCCTCAGGAGATCGATCGATGCGTACGTTCTCCTTCAATATCGTCTCCAAGCTCTTGCTGCTCTGATGGCGTTTGGGATCGTACTTCTCGCCATAGCACTTCGCTCTCAAAAGAAACGTGCTCTCGTCGAATTCCTGGATGACTATTTTCCGCACGACGAGATGCGGCGCCCCGCCCAAAGCAAATTGGAGTTCATCCACGAATCGATAAAATAAATCAGCCAAGTCTCGACCTGTAATTTGATCCGCATTAGAATATAGCAGACTCCTCGGCGATCTCGTTCAGATTCAATATCCGTGTCGGCGACAGAAGTCGATCTTTTATCCTAAGTCCTAGATCGTACAACCTACCTTCAGCTTCCACAAGGCAGTAACCTTTGATCTCAATTGTATTCAGGTCATAGAGATGGGCATACATCGCTTGTGCGGCTTGCTCGAATGATTCTTTCAAACAATCACCCCAACCGCAGAACCTGTGAAAATTACAAAATCGGATTCAGTGGCGAGTGCAGAACTCGATACTTGCCCGCGCAACTCCGATTCGGAGAGGAATATGAATGGCAGACACCGCGGGAATTCCATTATGTATCCGCAGAGACTTTTTTCGAACTTCGAACTAGAGCACTCACTCCACTTCCACAAGTTCATCGCGAACATCCACTGGAAGAATTGAAAACGACTATCAATGAGGATACGATCCGGACGATGGGGATCAGCCCATTCTTCGGGCTTGACAGGCGTTCCGTAGGAATTGAAATGCGCATCCGATGGCGGGCTTCACCCGACAGCTCCACCGACACACTGAGCCCCGCCCGCGAGTGAGCGATTCGTGTGAGACATCCGAAAGGTGGGCCGACAGATGTTCACCGAGTCCTAGGGCTCTGCGAATGCGTACTCTCATACAACTCACTTGAATATTTCACATGGGGAATAAGTCGTTCTTCAGGACCGAGGTTTTCGATGATCACAAACTCCTTCTCAAATGCCAGTGTCTCGGACACCGCCTCGAACCACTCGCTATCTTCTGATTGTGGATCGAGATCCATAGTTTCCCGGGAACTTATCTGGCGGACGAGGAAATATTCCCGTATCCCATCGGATCCGCTCCTGCCTAACACTTCAAGAAAAGCATAAACAATGGGAGAGGTCAGCGGAGCGAAAGAGCGGTGAGGTGCTACCCCCTAGCGCGTGAAGGGCTCTTCGGCGCATTCGCCGGAAGTTTCTGCAACGAGAACTTCCAGCCAATAGCTCCTCCGTCGCTTTCCGCAATAGTCACGGGATCCGCGTGGCAACGCTGGTTACATGTCGTTCGGGAGCGATGACCGCGGCTCTTGATTCCAAACTTCGGCCGAGATGAGGAGCGGGCTGGATGAGAATGACGTCATCATTCAGCCATCGCTCCTAATGTGGGAGATAAGTGTACCTGAGAGGCTCGTACTTATCTAGAGAGCTGCCGGAATCAATTATCCAGTGTTCTGTTTCTATTTATGGACGATATTATTTTATCGTCTGGATAATCCTGAATCGACTCAGACGAAATCTAGAGGGAGAGAGACGGGTTCACCACGAGCGAGAACTCGTGACCGTGACCCGAAAAAGTTCATCCATGCTCTCGAACAGGTTTCGGAGAAGGGCCCTCGTGACGGTCGATCCTTCCTCGGGTACATATCGCCGTCGAAGAGTGGACTCGCACCGCACTTTCCGTTCCGTATAATCGATTTCGTACACCTCGACCCCGTTCGGGCAAAGCTCTCGCAAATCCGGCATTCCGAGAGCCGCTCGAGCAGCATTCGGGCAAGACCTGCGCTTGAGAGGGGTCAACATAAATACATAAAAATAAAAACATCGCACGCATACATCCAATATCTCCCCTTCATCAAGTAAAGATTTCTGTGTAGAGTCCGAAAGAAAACCAGTGCATGACGTGTCTCCATGGCATCGAACGGACTTCTTCGACCCGACTCGAGGTCTCTAGAGACTCCAATGAGTCGGAATATGGAATCTGACCACCATTGAGATTCCCTATGATGTTCCGAGCGCATTCAGCGTCTTCCTACGCGAACGTCTCTCCGGGCCGGCTTCGTGGTTCCCAGTGTCGGATCCAACGCCGCCCAATCTCTTTCGGAAGAGCAACTTCTGAGGCCACATTTGCATTGCGTGCATCAGAACATGACCGAGTTTCTCAGAACACGACTCCGGGCCTTCTTCGAGCAGACGCACGAATCAGGCCAAAGCCTCATTCCCCGCCTCAACCGTTAGTCATCAGGTTCTTTCGGAAATCTTCGACATGAGCGAGACGAAAATATTTTTTATACCGCGGCAGTTCGGTCAATGAGCGGCTTTCCCCACCGGGAGCGGGTGACAGGGAACGAGGAAGAGCATATTTTCCCAGACTAAAAAACTGAGGAACTCCACCGCTTCCGCAGACTCGGACCGCACGCTCGAATCGCGAAGGTATTCCCATTTGAACTTCAGACATGTGTATATGTAACCTTTCTGGAAATATCCGCCCGGTTCAAGGATCCGAGGTGTCTGGTCACAATGTGACGGGAATGCTGGGACGCGAGCTCCGCGCCGTAGAGCGGTATCTTCCAATCGATGCCTTGTAGCATCGTCTGAACCACGAGAAGACAGTTCGATGTTCGCGGGAACAGATAATCGGAATCTCCGATTTCAGGGTCCTCAAGCCCGAAGTTCAGGTAATCTCGCATATTGCCGCAGCCAGATATTATCAATGAGGTTCGTTAGTAATGTTTTCATCCTCACCTCCCTCGCCATATGGCGATTTTTCCCAGCCGCTGTCGACGTGATCAGAAAGTTCACGTCGGCGATGGTTTCGACCAATCGACCTCCGAGGACATGGATGCGGAGTTTGCTTTCTTTGATCCCCGAGATGGGCCTCCAGGCGAGAGCCTTCGCCGTAGAGAATGGTTGCCGGCATGGAATGTCCTGTGAAAGATGATGTTCTCCTGGGAGCCATAGACCGTTTTGTGAACGCGGGGGCACGGTGGAGCTCGGGAGTCAATGGATTATGAGAATACGACGACAATTATGGATCCTCCGTCGCAGCAGAATTCTCCGACATATATCTCGCTGCAGCATAGGACGACGAGCCGGAGTGTCTTAAGAGCTCAGAATAGAGCAACTTCCATCGGCTCGCCTGGCCTTAAAGTCACGAATGCTGTCGTCATTTCTTTCTCGTATTTTTCATGGTGAAGCTGACCAGGCTATCGAATATTCCGGATCGCACACGGTCTCCATATCATGGCAGCGAATGATTTCTCTCCCGACTATCGAGAAATCTCAACCACTCAAGGTTACAGAGTGATCCGAAACTCCGATTTTTTGGCCTCCTGGACTTGGTTGGACCGCAACCCGCCAAAGCTGCTTTCACTCTTCCTTCGACAGAAGCGACGAAGACCTATGAGGTATCTTGCCGAGTCTCAAGCTCAAGATGACAGCCGGCTCCTTGGAGATCTTCAGAATAGATAGTCCTGGTCCTGGTACTCTATGAAAAATTGAGTCGGGGTTCTCACTTCATGTCAAGACCTCGCGGACCTCGGATTCTTCGGACGCGGGACCGCGGGACCTGAACCGCATTAGAGGGAGGATTTCATGTCGTCGCTCAGATTCTAGTTTCAAAACCGAATTGAGCGTCTCGATCGACGGTCGGGATCTCTAGAAGAGAGAGCCTCATCCGTGATTATATAGCCTCGATAAGGATGAGGACCGTAGCCGCGGGCCCCCTGCTACGGATGCATTCATCCGTTGTTCGAAACACCACTACTGGTGCGCCTGTGTGTGGTGTTGTTGTTGTCATTGTTGTGGGTAAGTTCGACTGTGAACGATAAAGCGAGTAAGCGTGACTTTAATGCACGGATAACTGTTCCTGAAGGATACCTATTCGGAGAATCCTGTAGATTAGTGAAGCTCCAGATGACACGTTCGAAAATCGGGTGAGAATCAATATTTGTTTCACACTTACGTGGCCACGGTGTGTCTGCCCACAGCTGTCGTCCGGCTGCTATCAGATAGGGGAACACCCAGGACGTGACAGCTCAGCTCTGGAAACGTCACCGAATTCGATCGGATAATTGAAAGAGGGAAACATGTGACTAGGCAGAAGGAGACCCCTCAGCGAGGAGTCCGAATGGCGATACACCTAGAAATTCTCGGGTACTTCGCGTTTCGAACACGGTGCTCATCAGATAGATTTTGAGTCGTGTTTCCGCTTTTATGACGATCAGTCATCGCGTGTTCCCCGCCGTACGTGAAGAATCTCAGGCCGACCGGGCGCGTCGACTTAACGAGTCCATACGCTTCAGGCTGTGATGCTCACGAACCGAAAACGAAGCCAGTGGAATTCGAGAAACAGTTGGATTCCCGAACAGTTGTATCAGCCACTTTTACAACCACAAGAAACCCAAGTCGAGCAGGTGAGTGAAATGCATAGATCTAGAGCTCTCTATGGGTCGGTGTCGGATCGTATTTGTTTTGTTCTCGTAGAAAGATGCCTCTAGGAAGACTGCAGTCATATATCCCTCAGAAGGCCGAGGGAACTCATCAACTTATTAGTCTTGCTTTATTTACCAGGAGCCTCCGTCTGTCTTAGATCGTTTGTTGGATCCGGGAGACGGCGATTACTCACATCTTTTGCCCGACATGACGTTCCGGGATCGATCAGCGGAGTTCGCCAGCGCGGCAAAACAAATAATGCAAAGCAGAATGGTGAGTTCTGATCGCGAACAGGTTCTCTCGGATCACCAAATATTCCGCAGTCCCAAACGACGCAAAAATTATCCGTAGTTTCGATAGATATCAATCCGGTGTCAAATGAATTTCGAATGAATCCTTGTCTGCACAGGGCAATGGAGTCCGCGCCGCGAATGGGGGACGTCGAATCAATTCTCGTATTCCTGAAGACTACTCACTGTTCATGAGGGCTTCGAGTCAAATCGGTCGGGACATCACGGCGACTTTCGTCAAATTAGAGAAATTGGCGCTCCTCGCCAAGAAGAAGTCCATGTTCGATGACCAGCCAATTGAAATCGAGGAACTGACTTACATCATCAAACAAGACATCGCTTCCCTCAATAAGCAGATCGCTCAGCTACAACAGGTGACCGCGAATTTTCCCGCTCTATTGTCGCGGAACGAACTCATTGCAGAGACCAGGACCGGTAACTCCTCTAAGATACGTTCCGTGGGTGGAGCGATTCGAGCTATAATTCACATTCTTTCCTGCAGCTGGCTCGGTCACGTAATTCCTCATCCGGGAAACACATAGCGACGCATTCAAATTCTATTGTCGTCTCATTGCAATCAAAACTGGCGTCGATGTCCAGTGATTTCAAACAAGTGTTGGACATCAGAACCGAAAATCTGAAGAAACAACAGTCGCGACGGCAACAATTCTCCTCGGCGGCACCGCTAGGCTCATCGGCGTCTACGCCTTCCCTGCTCGTTGCGGATGAAGAAGCAGCTCAAGCGAGGACCCGGCAGGATACTGCGATCGATATGGGAGGAGGTTGCTATCTAGATTTTATCGAAAACCGAAATTCCCTCATTCATGCTCTGGATCCTTGTTTGTATTCGATCTTTGGAGTCATTCCGAAATTTCGCTTCCAGTTTCGCTCGTCTCAAATCTCACAATGCTACGGGACGATCAGGATGCGTATTATCAGCAACGGGCGGATACGATGCAGAACATCGAGACCACGATTGTCGAGCTCGGTGGCATTTTCCAACAACTCGCGCACATGGTCAAAGAACAAGAGGAAACCATCGAACGAGTCGACTCAAATATTGAAGACACCTCAATGAATGTCGAAGCCGCCCATGCAGAGCTCCTGAAATATTTTCAATCAATTTCTGGCAATCGATGGCTTATGATCAAAGTGTTCGCTGTGCTGATTGTTTTCTTTTTTCTGTTCGTTGTTATAGCTACGTGAGGTGACTTGTTCCGGCTAGTGGGGTACCGCTTTTTCATATCGATGAAGTTCAATGAGCCGGCGGAGCGGTCCGGCAGTAACATGTGATACTGAAAACACGGAACGGAGGTTGTTGAAAAGTTTCTATGAATAATAAAAATGAAGGATTACCCTTTCTGTTGCGGTCGTCAGGTCATAGAGGATTTCGCCCGTACCTGAAAAACGAACCAAAGCAAGAAGGAGATCGCGTCCTTGGTCAAGTTTCGGGATAACCCCTAAGCGTAGGGTCGATGCGATCCCAGTCTGCTGAAAACTCGCCCACGCAAGGAGCTCCCGGGGGAGGTCAGGAAGCCTTGCACAGCTTCGAATTTCATGACCAGCAGCAGCGTTGTTTTCCGAGCTGCTGCATCTGAGAAGGATATCGGAGAGTCTGACACCTCTCCGACGTCTCGAAGGTATGAACTCTTCGAGGAACTCATCCTGAATTCATTCCGCAGACGATCTTATTTTTGCCGAGGGGTCTTCCATCCACGGGGAGAACTCAGCTCATGGAACTCGGGGTGTGTCTCGACGAAGGCTTAAAACTACATAGGTATTTGCCTCGGAGTCGGAAATCCGCTGTTGCAATCTGCTCGCGGACCTTCGGAAACAATTGATTGAAACTAGCGGCTACGGTACCTCGAAAGGCTCGACGGACTCACGTTCGAGTTCCGAGGAACTTCTCAAGCCTGTAATCGAGACTCTTGAGAGAACCCCGGGCTCTGGGCGGCGAATAGTCGGACAGTCATCGTATCCGGAACCATCAAACGCTCCGGATCGATGAGGAAGAAATCCGGGACTGAGCCGAGTTTCCGCATCGGCGTGAGAGCCTGAGTGGGAAATCGTCCGAATCTCCCTTAGGTGTTACTGTATCTCGACATCTGACGCCTACGCTCCGCTCTACCTACTTTGAATGTCAGTCCCGGGGATCACCCTCGTTGTCAAAAGTCAGAAGCGCAGTGCGAGGATCATTCGTTGATCTCCCCGAGTGAGTTGCTGGGTATTGAGTGACCCACATGCATGACTCCGATGGAACATCCAATCATGGCGTCTCTGCTGATCGCTTCTCTACTGATGGCGGAACAACATGACATCGCGGGCAGAGCGATCTATCTTGAGCGGTCGTTGCAAGCGATTTCCATTGGTCTCAAATCGCTACTCAGGAACGGAGAACATGCCAACACCGATGTCCTCGTTTCACTAGCCTTCGCACAAGGTCAGTCTTGATTGCCGCAGCTAAGAGGAAGATCTACATATGTCGTTCAAACAGGAGATCGAGCGAGGGAGAATCTTCCTTTTGTTTCACTCGATGATCATGAGCACATGCCATAAGATGTTCGATCCCACCTCTTCATCCGCAGGCATCTTGCGCTCGATAGACACCTCGAGAAAATTCTTCCATCTTCGGGAACTTCTAGCTCTCATATCAGAGCTCGAAAATGCTCGTGGGGTGCTGGAGTTCAGGCTGCTTGACTCGGAGAATGCCGAACAGCGCGTCTATTTTCTAGACTAGGAACCCTCGACACACGACGATGCGTGGACTCTGGACTATGATTCGGCTGAAATCAGCGGAAGGAGCTCCCAGAACGCCTCATCGGCTCGAGATCTTATGGCATCGATCGGGAGCTGCGTCATACGGGTCATGAAGAGGTAGGGACTAGCTGATTCAACCTCCGGGTCGAAATGGATGGTTGAGCGTTCCGCATGGAGTTTCTCAAGAGAATGAGGAATTATTCCGAAAATCACGGGGCGTCTCCTCTGTGTTCGCTGCTGGACGAGTGTTTCGAGATCCTGTCGGAGCGATCGACCTCGGGCTACACTCTGACTCATCAACTTCTTCTCTTCCTCATCTGGAATCACGGGCCTTGCAAGCACAGACTTGGAGAATATCTTGCCGAAAAAAATACCTCACTACCGAGATATAGAGCAATGTAGGTTCGAAACTCCACCGCAGCTTCCAATTTCCGGATGAGCGTGAAGAGCTCCGTCCCTAACGATGAATCGATTGTCATCTCGCTTTCCGCAAATATTCATCATTTAGGTATCTCTGATTCCGATCCATTTATGAACGCATCCCCTCGCTTCCCCATCAGGATCTGCGGGATCATCCATCGAGAAGCTCAAGAACTCCTAGAAAGCGGTCCCGACGACTGTCATCAGGACTTATTCATTGAACAACTGGCATTTTGCCAGGCGGTCGGCATGTCGGTAGGTTCAAGAGGTGTCAATAACTGCGGTAGCTTGAGAGAGCCTAGAGCTTAACCCGTCCGAGAACCTACGTCCTGCAGGAATTTCTCGTTCTCGACTGGTTCGAAAAGATCATTTCATGGCAATCGCCCGGAGGTTGCTTCACTTGCGAGTCCCGCACAGCGCGTCGTTGCAGCTTCGGCGTGGATCCGAACGCCAAAGTTCAGTACATGAACGACAGAAGAACTTCGAGGTGGAAGCGCGATGAGGTCAGCATCCGTCAAGGTGAACTTGGTAAACGGAACTCGCGCGATTCGGACCCATTTAGACCTGGATCAGGGGACAGGAAGAACGAGCTCGTCAAGCTCTTCATTGAAGTCGCAATAATGCAACTTATCGCAACGTTTCTACTTGGGGCTCAATCCTGCGGTGCTCTTACCAATGGACTCATACCCCTCTCGATTGATCTGACAGGAAACGACGTCTGCCTCCTCCATAAAACAAGCGTCGCTCTGATTTACTTCGCGACCGTGGCCAAGATCCTTCTGCATGGAGATCGTGTTCTGCAATGATCCGGGGAAACCAAATCGAGGATCACACCCGAGAGGCCTGCAAGACTTCCGGATGCCCTCCTTATCGGTCCCTGAGCGAAACCTTCAGATGACGCTACGAGACGTCCGCAAATAAAGGCTTTCAGATCAATGATAGTATTGATTGGGTCGATCTAGACGGAGTTTTCCTGAATTTAATCTTAATTCGCTATTCCATCCGGTTTCGACAATCGCGGGATTTGTGGTCGATGGAATTTTCAATGAACAACTCAAATAACGAGACTGCACAACGCGTGTTCTAGCTCCTGGACGAGCCTCCGATCTCTCATTGCCATCACTCATTTGCCTATATTCTTAGCTTGATCTCGTGCGCCGTCCGTCGGAGAAACTCGGAACTCCTTCACGTCGGCTTCGCTCCTTGCGTCAGTCTCGTCACCACGGAATCCGTCGTGGCCGCCACCAGCCCTGAAATCGGGAGGCGAGCCCGAAGATCCGGTTCCCTTGTAGAGCTCCAGCTGAAGTCGCAAATAGCTGTTCTCGGTGCTCAACTTATGCACGAGATCCTTATACTGCTCTAAGACGAGCATTCTCTGGCGATTAAGTTCCATCATCCTGGACTGCGTCCGCAATAATTGCTCGAAGGCGGCACTGGCCCTCAAGGATGACTCTACAGCATCCGTGATCTTGGCGAAAGCGATCACTTTGAGGCCATGATCCAATGCTTCCACATCGTTCATCGCTGTTTCTTGATCTCTTTCCAGAATATCCGACGGCATCTGTATACCCCTGAGTATTCGCTGCAGCCATTCTTCATCTGTTCCACCGCCTCCTCGCTCCGTTGCATTATCCACACTGTCGTCCGTGGTCTCGCCGTATGAGCTCGACTGCTCACTGGATCCCGATACCACTCTGGGTCGGCTCACTGGAAATCGCGTACTCCATCATGAAGGCGGGAAAAGCACTGAGGGGCCCCGGAACCGGCCCGGGGCAAGGGTTCTCAGAAATAAGAGGAATAACGAGGTATAGAAAAGTTCAAACCTTCAGCCGCGGCATTCGGGGAGACAGGAGGTGCTGATCGCGACTCCATCTCCAATAAACTTCGTTGTCGTCCGAGCCTTCTCTGGCGCTTGGGGATAGGTGTCCCCAGTGAAGAGCGGATGTCGCTCAAGGGGAACTCATCTGGCCGTCGGAGGAACGAAAAGCGGTGAAGATGTTGAGAGTTCTACTCTAAGCTCGCCCTCAACTGCACCGAAGGAGTGAGTTGAGGGTCAAGCGCGTCGAGGGTTCGGGTCTGGGAGCCGAGAGCTCATTTGGAAGTCCTCACTTTTTTTTTGCTTCCACTCTCGAATTCCCTCTTGCTCATTCGGGGGATCTAGGATACTCTCATGGCCCAAGAGTCAAGAGTGAGTATCCAGCGTGACATTTTTTCAATTGAACGGGAATCGGTCGATGAGCCTCTGATAAAGCGCAGCGTTTCTCGCATTTTCAGAGCGCGGAACCTCTTCGCCCTCCCAGAATGAGGATCAGCTTTTCTGTCGCCGGGCTGCCGAGGGACCGGAGAAGCTGACCACCTACCCTATCCTTCGGGAGGAGTTTATTCGAACGTATGCCCGTATCCTGCCTGATTCCCTCATCATGCTTCCATAGCTCATGTGCGTCCCTCAGGCAGAGGAAGACTCATGGAAACACGACTCTTGTCCATCACGGTGTCGTCATCTACCCATTCCTAGGGAGTCCCCGGGGCGCACTTGCCCCTCGCCTCTGAAATTCCTCTGATCGAGTGCTCACAGCCGAGTGCTCTTTATTCCTGGGTTTGATAAAAATTTGCTGCATGCAGCAAATTTCAGGAACTATGACATGATTGCGGGACTTTGCACCATAAAAGTTCCGAATAATTTCAAATTCCCCACGAACAATTTTTTCTCATCGTAATTTCGACGTCGTCGTTCGAATTTCGTCGTCACTCGTTCAGCTTTCTGCGTCGGCGGAAATTCTTAGGATCTATGCGGCATTTCCGTTCGCGGAAGAGGTCGATTGTTCGACATTTCTCAGCTGTGCGACCTGTTGTTTCAAAACGTGATTTTCTTCCGAGAGAGATTGTAGCAAGAATCTGTATCGCTGGAGGAGGGCCACGGGTGGATCAGTAACTTCAGTTTCATCGATGAAGGAACTTCGTGTGATGCTGCCGAATGTGACTCTCGCTTTCGATTGAGGAACGTCGTGATACGAGGGACCATAAAACATTTTCCTGTTCTGCTTGCCGTCCACGTTATTGAGCTCAGCTGCCTCCGGGGATAAATTGATCTTCTGCAGCGCTAATCCGAGCCAGTGATGAGCATCCCCTGCATCTCGATCGAGAGGGCCGTCGTGAGTGTCCGCTAGAAGGTCGTCGTTGCGACCTGGTAGCTCACCACTTGCCGTACCACCTGCATTAAGGAATCATTATCGCGTTTTCCGAGTCTTGTCAGATTCGCATTCCGAGTCTTAGATCTCAGGTCGGAAGTCTTCCTGTCGATTCGTGGCGCAACTCAAATACTCACCTCTGGAGCCGTCCGTCGCTGCGAATCCTCCCGTTTCTTGGACTTCTGCGTCCTCCATCGTTATCCGAGTTCCTTCGTTGCTCTTACTTCAGGAGGGAGCTCCCGCGCGGGTCTTCACCACAATCTTGGGCGACGAATAGGATATATCTGACACGCGAGAGAACGAAGTCTACATATTACTGCGCCATTCGCTCTATCGTGCTCATGCGGCCGATCTTGTCTTGCACATCGTGCTCCCAAAGAGTCCCAATACGTATTCTAATATCAGCTACAGCCGCAACTGACTGTCAGTACAGATTCCAGCGTCATGGATCATTCTCTGTCCTCTGGCAGTTTTATCATATCCCCAAGTCCTCCGGCGGCGCAGAGAAGAAAATCGGATAATGATAACGACTTCTTTTTGTTCAGAAACATCATGTCTAGCCATCAAGGCTGTCAATAATCGGTACTCGGTACCCAGCTTGAAAAAAAGAACGAAACAGTTCTTCGAGTAAGTCTAACGCCGTTTATTGACCGAATATACAGGGGGAGGAAATTATGAGAATCGTAGAATATGAATTTCTATAAATCGAGCGCGCTCAGCTCGCTCACCAGAAACCCCATCGATTGCTTGAATAGGCTGATGGGCGAGCTTACCGCTCAATCGGTGTAATCGGCTAACGAAGATTGATTTCATATTCGATATTCAAAATGATAATAAAGTGAAACTAAATAGATGCGTTCGATTGCTTGATTTTCTTCCCATTGAAGAATAATAAGGAGAGTTAGTTTGCCAATTGAGCTTTAGTTTCCTTTCTAGGGGGGATGATGACTCCCTTCGCCTGCAGCACCTCTCGCATGAGTCGCTTCAGACACGATACTTCGGCTTGGAGCTTCGTCACCTCGGTCTTGAGCTCGTTGTTTCCGTCGATGAGCTGTTGCTCTTCCTCGTCGATCGTTTCCTCCTGGACTTTCCTCTTTTGCCTGTATCGCTCCGCGGCGGTTCGGTTCTGAGCCTTCTTGCGCTCTTTACGATCTTCAGGCGAAAAACGCGACTTGCGGCCGCCGCGACGTGAGTCCACATCGCTATCCGAAGCAGACGTTGGTGACCAAGTGGAATCTCCGTTCGACGAGCAGTACGATGACATTGATATTTGAGAGACTCGGCGCCTCTTCTCAGACGGTGCCCCGAGTTCGTCACTGACCGCGCTGTAACACGACATTGGGGACTCTGAACCGCAACTGTCCACGTACGTGGCAACCGGAGACGACGAAACGATTTCTTCTTTCTCGAACAGCGTGTCGTCGCTCACCACGAAGATCGGTGTAGAGACTTCTGGAGGCGGAGGATTTTTCCGTTCGGTGTCCCAAGCCTGCACAGGCGAGCTTGCTCCGGTCTGCTTCGTCCAATCGAACCATTGCTGGTCGTTGACGAGGACGGGCTCGGTTGGAATCGGGTCTTCGAGCGCGGGGATCTCTTCAAGCATAAGGTCATCCAGAGGAGCGATCGCGGCAGGTGAACTACGCTCATTCACTTCAATTTCCTCAAGCTCAGGCACCTCGACGAGATCGAAAAGACTCTCGTCGATTGAGGGCAGTTCTTCCGTACCGAAAATGTCCTGTGATCCATGGAGAGAGAACGCCGCAAGCTGAAACCCGGTGGACTCATTGAGTCCGAGTGCCGGGACTGGAAGTTCAAAAGCCTCGTATTAGATATCGATCAGAGCCCTTTCGACCAGTCGCGACAGCCGGAACCGTGATCAGGTGCAGATATCCGGAGTTCGGGATGTGGCTAGGAAGTCCCACATACCTTCAGTGGCGACGAAGGAGGAACTCCGCGCTGGATCCTCCAGCGGGGAGCTCCAGAACGGAGGAACGGCGACAGTTATCATTTCGGGATGAGGTTAGACTTTCTCGACTTGTTAGAATCACTAAAGGCTGCAGGCCGCCCGGGGCTGTCATTTTGATCCTGGAAGAGTAAGCGCGGGTTCAGGCTCGCGAAAGTCTAGGTATCTCGAGGAACGAATGATAATTTCAAGTTCGGCTTCGTAATTAATAAGATTTTCTTTGTAGCGTAGACTTCGTTTAAAAATAGATCGGGCGACACAGCTGCCCATCGGGAAACGGCGCATTTCTAAACGCCGACCGACTGAGCAATTCAAGGACGCTCACTTGGCAAAAGTTGTCGACGTTTTTATGAAAACACAACGAACCAAAACAGGCTGGAACGACCGATATTTTCTCCCGAGTCCTTGATTGGTCCAGGACATCCATTATGCTGTTACAGCATCTCGTGTCCGAATCATAGGCGCTGATATACACGCCCGCTGCTTCTGGACGCCCGATACAACGCCCTACCCGTGAATCGGAATGCATCGGTAGCTCTCGCGTATACGGCGCTTTCAAGCCGTACAGATTGGTATACGGACGTTCCATAAACTATATCTTGACGCGGAATGTCGTAAGCTGGTCTGTATTTTTGCCTCCGCGATCCGCACGCACTCTTGCAGTAGACCAACTGCGCTCAAGACCGAAAACCAAAGTCAAAATTGATCGGCAGTCTGAAGTCGTCGCCGGGCCAATATATTTTTTTTTCTTCGGGAGGAAACTGGCTGGCAGATATTAGAGTTCAGTGGAGACAGTGGAGATTTCCCTACGACTTCTGGAGTTGAAGATCGGGATCGACCGGAAACCATTACCCCTAGCTCTATAATCAAAATAACCAGCATGGCAGGTGCTCGTTGAGCTCAAAACTTGCTTTCCCGAGGATAATCTTTTCTCAAGGATGGGTCTTGCATCGAATTGAATGCGCACGACCGTGAGGATCCCTCTCCGATGGGGTGGTTGAGTCTGGGGGACTGGTGGAAAAGCCGAGTCGCGCGTCGGAAATCGAGTACACCCGGATCATTCACGTGATCGTACATATCTACTTAGCACCTACTCAAAGCTAAGACCCATGGTTTACCTGTGTGCCGATCTGTAGGCAACGGTTATTCGCCCATGATTAGGCACGCATAGGCATCTAGCTGTGCAATAGCATGAACACTTGGAGCAGACCATTAACACATTAGAACTATGGAACTGCGCTGGTTTGAACGGAACGACACCGATCCGGTCACTGAGGACGGGCAGAGGAACGCGGGCCCCAGCAGCAGAAACCCAGTAGCCACCAGATGGACACGAGGAGGCAGAGAAGGCCGACGCAACAGACTATATTTTGGCAACGACCCGCGTACGCAGATTGTCCAGTGGGGCGACCGTGATGGTAAAAGCGAGCCTGCGGCCTTCAGTCCTCTTTCTCGTGGTGGTTGGTGGTGGTGCTGCTGCTGCCGCTGTTGTCGACGTTCTCCTCCTTCTTCTTCTCCGAATTCTTTCTTCGACGCCTGGCCGCAGAACCGCGAGGGTGACGGACCTGCTTGCAGCTACACAGGACTAGCAGACAAACGCTCAGGCGAGAGAGGCAAGGGGAACGTTATCGCAGTGGCACTTGTCGCATATCCTGCACTAAAAGCGCTCTGTGTCCAGCTCTTGTTAGAGCTGCTGTTGGTCAAGATTCAAAGTTTAGTCCGTCGACCAGTGGAGCCTGATAACGACCGACCGACCGCCGACGATCTAACCGCAGCAGAGCAGAGATAAGCCAATGAAAAACACGAAGAGAACGACGGCACGGACAACTTCCCGCGGCGCAAAAGATGAAATTGGAGAAGCTGCAGCCCGAAATAGATGGACGAATGCAAGTTATGGTCAGCGGCTAAAGATCAGCTCCTTAATCTTCCACGCGCACACTAGGGTGACGCGCGCTCGAATTCAATGAGCCCCGCTCGGAAGCCGAAATGACCGTGCCGTGCGCGCGTCGATATTATTCTATTGACGAACTGGAGGCAATGTCGTAAAGGCTTTATCGTTGGCGTCAATGTCGCATGAAAGGGCTTCTGAAGCCCCTGCCATCGCTTGATTTCTTGTAACAGCGGATGGAGCAGAGATATATTCCAGCTACTATGGTTTCAGTGTCCCTTCCAAACATAAAATCTACGGACCTCCGTGCACGAATGCTTCTCGATACTCTACGGCGCTCAAGACAAGATGTCCTGTATATAGCTCAGAGAGTCGGCCGTAATGAGCTCCATCCAAAGACACGGTTTCGCTTCCATATCCATTTTCTTCAGAGGGTGGGAAAAGCATGCCTCTCCTCGATTTCCGAGCCACTGGGACTTCAAGCCGATTTCCATGTCGTAGCCTCCTAGTGTTCGGGCAATATCATGTGAAGGCAAAGGCTGATAGAAACTCCCTCTTCTCCCATCCCAAATAATTATCAATTGTTGAACCAGTCGCCGATATGAGCAAACTCGCTATAACCAGTGCTAAACTTCTCGGCGGAAACTTTCGATGTGATCGATATTGCGACCTGTTGTCCCTCGAATTCCCGCGAGCGGGCAGACGGGACGGTTGGCAGGAGCAGCGATCCGCTCCATTGCGGGCTTCTCCATTGACGTCAAACCATATTGGAGGAAGTCAGCCTCTAGATTTCGAGGGCTTCGTTGCCGGAGTACCTGAACATTGCCTGATAGTTCTACTCGCCGACCGCAACCTACGCGCAAGTCGCTCGAACCAGGCACCGGCTTCAGAGAAAGAGAAATCGCTGCGCGCATTTAATTCTTTGGAATGGAATGGAAGCCTCTTTTGAAAGAGCCTAAACCTCGAGCACTTTAATCCTGGTCTTCGAGAAGATGTCGATCCAAACGAGTCCAATGTCGTTCGGGGCCGGATTCGTGAGTCATCCAATCAGTTTGGCCGTTTGCCCGGACAGGCCGGCGCACCGTTATGAGACAGACTTCGGGCGAGGGTCCCGGTTTCTCTCCTAGTTAGATAGAGGTATCTTCGCGTTCACGAGATAAGGACACTTCTTCGAATCCGAGAAGAGGAGAAATCCACTTGGAACTTCTCGAATTCGGCCCGCCATCCCATGACCCAGACGGGACTTTCGAGTGCCATTCGGGCCGCGGAAGCCGGTGGTTGCATCAGCTTCCCGAATAGCTAGGCCTAATAGATAGATGAAAAAATTGTCGCTGACAGGAACTTCGCACTATCATTGAGACGCGATACTCACTTCATTTTGGTGAACTTAAAGCACCGAACGGTGCGGGCTTTGTTTGGGCGCGGATTACTCCATCACGTTATCACGAGAACCTTGGTGTATTTTATTCGAACGTTGTGTAGGGCTGACATGAGGGAAGTGAGATCAAAATGGCGCCCGCTTAGACCCGAATCAGCTGTGTGGCGAGAGACTTGCCGTCGCCGCCGCAGCCGTTCCACGAAGAAGACGCGCGCGGGTCACGTCAACGGGGAAGGTAGCGCGGGCCACGGCTCCGGATTCCGATCAACCCCTGTTCTTTTTTCAGTTCAGGGAGTCTGCGATTCATTCTGAGCTGGGGAGGCCGCTCTTCGGAATTCTGAACGGATGTACAAATGTACAGCAAGGACAGGAGTCGGAACGGAGAGGAAGCGAGCTCGTAAGATGCATGAAAACGTGGCATCCGGTCGAGGGCGATGACTCAGTGGAGTGAGAACAGCGGAACTGCTTATCGTCGAGCGAACTGGTTCGCTATCTCATTGTTCACGAACTGAACTCTTCGCGACACTCGTTCCAATCTCACTTTCACCGAGATTGTTGGGGACCCGCCGCGCGGGAAGCCCTCATCTCGAACGTGACCAGGGGATTCCGGCGAGCAGTGAAATCTGCCGGTTCCCGGGCGCCGAAGGACCGCGTACCTGGAATTCGATCCAGAAGCGTCCAGAAAATGGTCTACTCGTATCTCAAATGCCCTCAGAAGAGACATGACTCGGTTTCGAGCGGAAACTACGATAAATCAGCAGTAATCATTCTATGTTCGTTTGGCTGGAAATTCTCCGTGTCTCCAGCGGTCTCTCCCTGCTCTTTTTCGATCGTGAGTCCTGTCTCTCGGAACGGGGGAAACCTATGAAGGGATCGCTTTCTTCCCCGTGGACATAGTTTCCGATTCGACAGATGAAAATCCGATAAGGGTCCGACCGCTTATACAATGTTTCAACGCGCGACAACTTCACCTCGATGAATCTAATCTAGAGATATGGATAGATGCAAGCTGGCTCATGCATGCTGAAAAAGGGCGGATACGTGATCTTTCTTTCGCAAGACATCAGGACAGGACATCTTTACACCGCAGCGGTTCTCCTTCCGCGATTTTGATTGCGACTATCTGCTCTCGTTTGATTCACATTTGATATGGAGAGAGCATCTCAGCCTTCACTTCCAAAATTGACTGTACGAGAGCGGCACTCAATCTGCTTTAGGAAGCCCGTTTACGCAAACGGGTAATGACGGCTGTGAATTTCGAAGCCGAGAACATGCTCCATTTCGTCATGAGATGGCAGTCGTGAGTCTGCATGAGTGACATCGGAGTATAAATTTTTTCCGCAGACATTCATTTTCAACCACACTCTATGTGGATCATGGAGGGAAGAAAGGTCGTTCCTGCATCCGGACTTCGGATTCCACTCAAGCATACGGAAAAATCAGCTCGTTCAGATCGACCACCAGTGAAATGATGGGTTGTGGGATGATGGCATCGACTAGCTGGTCGGCGTCTGCCTCCAGGGTCTATGCAGTTCGCCCTTCGTCAATTCCCCGACGGGGCTGACAGAAATCGATACGATTTCAGAACTGACTCCAAAAGATCCCCTGGACTCTAAACCAGGCTCAGAATCCTTGGCACACGGTATCGCCAATGGAACCACGTATGGGAGGCAGCTGATCGTTGGCAAAATCAGCAATCCACATCTGCGGTCGATAATTGCACCTGACGTTCGGATGAAAGAGCTATCTTGGGGTCTAAAATTAGAAGGCCGAAGAGCAGCTACGACGCAGCAGCGTGCCGTCAAACTTTGCCTGCCGGTTATCATTTTCATTGAGATAGCGTTACTGATATGAATCATAATCTTACAATATCGCTCCCCGAAACTACGAGCTGCGATCCGAGAGGAGCCATTCTGCTGAGAGTGTCTAACCTCCCCAAGCTTGATAGCGGGGACTTCTTCACTGGCAGCATTACAACCGAAGGTTGCTCTGAAATGGTGAAACCCTGCCGTGGCATTCGAATGTGAACACTGAACACACTTGACTCGTGCGATTCGCATTCTTCGGCCGTATCGGAAAGAGCCCGCAATGAATTTTTCTCGTTCTCACCGTCTATTCCAGAGGGGATCTTCTCCTGGATTCGTTTGTCCGTATGAAGAATCCAAGAAGTCGGGAGCTTTGATTATTCCATCGTAGAAGTCGCCCACCTGCGCCACTTTTCCCCACAGTGATGTCGGGTGGTCCATTCCTCGGAATCCACCGGCACAGAGATCGACTGCATACTGACCCTCTATCGCGGAATATTTCTCCTCTACCGAAGGAGCATACATTCCTTAGGAAGCTCGGAAATCGAAGGCTCAACGTGATTTATTCGCTACCAGCGCTCCCGGTCGCCGCTTCGCGGCGACTCGGTATCGCTAGACTCACTACACATGCGCCAGCTCCGAGTGCGCTAGCTCCGAG